AAAGCTCAGCTATTAGCTGATCGATTTCGTATAAGCTAGTCGTAAATAGCTTAGTTCCCTTCCTTTTATCTCTATTTATTATTCGACTAAAAGTAGTAGTACTAATAGTAAAAATATCTAGAGAAGAGCTAGTAGGATTTCTCGATTTTAGCAGGGTAGGTAGATTATAACGTAAGGTAACTAGTTTATAACGTAGGGTAACTAGTTTATAAGAGCTAGAACTAGAAAATCCTAATAATTCTCTTTCTATAGTTTTAAGCTATTCGCGTAGCTTACTTTTAAACGAATTTTTTACTACTAATTTAGGGCGATTCGCTTTTTACTTCCTTTTCTCGCTTATAGCGATAGGTGCTAGCTTAAGCTCTTTAGCCTCTTAAGCTTTTAGACGTCGATTAACGTTATCTTAATAATTTTTATCGATTAGCTTCTTTTTAAGTTATTCTTATCTAATTAATATTTCCTTATAAAAAGGTCTAACACTCTTAGGAAGCTCGCTAAGCTAAATTAAGGCTTTTCCTGCTATATCTAGTAATACTTTAAAGTACTCTAACTAAATACAGCCTAGAATAAGGTTATAATTACCTAATTCTAGTAAAAAGAAAGGTATATTAACTATTCTACGCTTATTAATTATAAAAGAGAGAGAGAGATAAGACGTAATCTGATTATTAGCGATTCCGTCGTAGCCTTTTATTATAATAGGCTATAATAACCGTTAAGGTATAACACTAAAGAGATATTATAATTTCTTAGTAAAAGGCTTATTTAGGAAGGCGAAGCTATTAGCGCCTATATTAATTAAAGAGTGTAATTAGATAGAATATCCGTTTTTACTAAGGTAATAAAGGTAGGTAAAGTGTGGACTGCTTATTAGCGTTAATAGGTCTAAGTTAGTTAGATCTATTATATTACTATATTCGCCTAAAAGAGGGTCTTGTTTTAGGCCTCTTCTTTTAAATCAGCTTCACTCTCTAATTAGCTGATTTTATTAATTTCCTCTTAATCTAGCTCTTTAAGATCACCTGATTTAGGCTTAAGGTATTAAGGTAATAAATGCCCTACCTTATCACACTTATAACAGCGTACTTCCTAATTAGGCTTTATAGCTGTAATAGCTGTAGTTTTTTCAGTAGTCTTTTTTATATAATTATTATTATAATAATTCTGTGTTCTTTACTCTCTACGAGCTAATCTAGAGGTTTTAGAGCCGCTAGTTATAATAATAGACTCTTTTCTTCTTTAATTAGCTATTAGCTTTTCTTATTCGTGCGATTTTAGTATAGCTTAATAAAACTTATTGAATCCGTTGATAAAGTTTACTATAAGTTTTATAGTAGCTCTAAGATCAGGATATAACTTTATATAGAAATAATCTTTTAAGTGATCCTTAGGCTTTCTAGCCTTATTAGTAAGGCGTAGGAATTTAGCTTTGAAATCGCTAAAATCATTAGTAGATAATATATATAAGCTATTATATTCAGCTTCGTATATTAATATTTACTTTGTAATAAAGATCTTACGTAAATCAGCTATTAATTCCGTATAATGCGTATAAAGATCCCCGCTATATATATCATGCCTTATAAATAAGGCTTCTTATACTTTACCCTCCGTTATATTATATACATAGGTTATACAAGTAAACTCGTTGTTAAAGTAGTCCTAATTTACTTTTAGCTTAGAAATAATTAATAATTCCTATTACTTAAACATAGGGTCTACGCTATTTATAAGCGGCTTTAGATCATGTATTTTTCCGGTTTTACGCCGCTTATTATTATATCTAGGAAACCTATTAAGAGCCCTTATAATAGTAGCTCTAATTATATCTCTAATTAAAGAGGAATTTACAGGGGAAATTAGAGGTAGAGATACTCTAAGAAGCTCTCTTTAAATTTGAGTTATAAAGCGAGTTATAATATTCGTTTCTCTAATTAGTCGATTAGGCGATAGAATTATAATACGCGTTATAGGCGTTTTTTCCTTATCTCTTTACCTACCCCTAGTATATTCTATAATATTTATTCTAAGTATATTTTCATAAATATACCTTAAAGGGCTTTTATCTCTTACCTAATTAGGGTTAGAGTTAGAGCTTTTTAGCTCTTATAGTTCTTACTATAATAAGTGATTCTCTTTAGCTTACTCTTATATTATACTATATAGTTCGGCGATTTAGTCTACTAGACTCTTATTAGCTAAATCTCTTTATTATAAGCGAGACCTAGGTCTAGCTATAAAAACTTCTTCTACCTCTGATTAGTCTATATTACTAGCGCTAAGTATTTATACTCTAGCAAGAGTACCTTAAACTAAGGAGAATAACTTAGCTTTATTATTAACTCTTAATTAGTTTAATTCGTCTTAATTTTCTATAGAAGTTGTATTTCTACTTAGAGAGCTATTATTATAGCTACCCCGAGTATTATATTAAGAGCTTATAGTTCGTACTATTAATTAGCCGCTAAAATCACGGAAATTAGTTAATATTTAATTAAGATATTATTAAGTGATAATATAGGGTTTTTAAAAGGTAAGTCGATTATAAAAACAACCCTTTTAGCGTATAAGCCTAATAAAAGCTCTTTTCACTATTATAACATAGAATAGTAACTATTACGTTACGTACTAGTGTATCTTATCCTATTATAGAATAATAACTATTATAATAAGTATTAAAATAACTCTTTTTAGCGTTTTACACTTATAAGTTAAATATATATTTAAACTCAAGGATTTAATTAGTTCTTTCAGGGAGCCGCGCGTATTAAAGAATAAGGGCTATAAAAACAGTCTTTTCTACTGCTACTAGGAGCACGCTAGTGGGCTCGCTTAGCTCTCTGAAGTAGCTCTTATTCGCTATTATAATATAACAACGTTTCTAAGAGGGATATTAGCTCTCGTAATAACTAATAGCGAATAAGACGCTAGTCCGAGTTAGGAGTGTTCTTAACGACTAGCACGACGCTTAGTAGTCGGATTATATAGCCAAGTCCCGTGACCTAGTTAGACGTTTAGGGTTAATATAAGAGTATTAGGTAATAATAAGCACTTATCTGCTTTTAGCTAGCCTCGCAATTCTAACTAATAGTAAAGCTAGGCGATTCCAGCTTTCAAATAACACTAGGCTAAGCGTAATCTTATAACTTCGTATAAGTTATCTGTTATCGTATAACTAAGTGTATAGCGCCGGTAAGGTAGTGATAATAAGGGTTGAAAAACAAAAGCTCACTTAAGATAATAAGTATAAGTTATTAGGATATTATTACGCTATTACTAGCAGTGTGATTTAAGCTTAATATAATATAATAGCACGGTTTAGCGTTAGCTAGCACGTGAGTGAAATAACCACGGATCAGGTGATAACCTCTCTATTAGCGCGAATATCAAGCTAAGGAGCCCTCGATTCCGTGGAGGGCGCTCGAGCTTATATAAACAAATTCCCCGGGCTATTCCCGATTAGGCCTAATTACACTTAACGTAAAACTTGACGTAAACTCCTATAGTAGCGTAGAGCTATTTCCCTTTACGTATAACTAAGTGAGTAACTGTCGGTAAACCCCTTCAGAGTTAACCGAGCTCTACCGAGTCTTACCGAGCTTTGCCGAGCTCTAGACTCTTCCTAATCGGGTATAGTAAAGAAGTAGTTACCACTACCTTTACACCGAGTTATTTTAGTAAAGTTATTTAAGTTATAATAATATAGTATAATAATATAAGTCTATATATAATATAGGAATTTAAAATCCTAGACCGGATTAACTTAGTCCGAGTCACGTTTATATAGTCACGTGAAAGTATCTAAACTATTCTATACGACTAAACTATTCTACCGACTACTAGAGAGGGGGTTTAGTAGTAGTGTAAGTCTCTGGGAGGGCTACTGTAATAGCACGGTTTAGCGTTAGCTAGCACGTGAGCGAAATAACCACGGATCAGGTGATAACCTCTCTATTAGCGCGAATATCAAGCTGAGGAGCCCTCGATTCCGTGGAGGGCGCTCGAGCCTATATAGACAAATTCCCCGGGCTATTCCCGATTAGGCCTAATTACACTTGACGTAAAACTTGACGTAAACTCCTATAGTAGCGTAGAGCTATTTCCCTTTGCGTATAACTAAGTGGGTAACTGTCGGTAAACCCCTTCAGAGTTAACCGAGCTCTACTGAGTCTTACCGAGCTTTGCCGAGCTCTAGACTCTTCCTAATCGGGTATAGTAAAGAAGTAGTTACTACTACCTTTACAGCTACGCCGACGATTAGGTAAATTCTATACAGAGGTAAGCTGCTGCCTTACCTAATCAGGCGATATAAGCCTAATAATACCCCCTTATAAGATATACTCTTATTAGTATCCTTAGTATCCTTAGTATCCTTAGTATCCTTAGTATCCTTAGTATCCTTAGTATCCTTAGTATCCTTAGTATCCTTAGTATTCTTAGTATTCTTAGTATTATTAAAGCTTTTAGTAAGCTTACTAATATACCTTATATAATATAAAAAACGGACCTACTTTTATTTTATACGCTAGTCCTAATTAGACTTATAAGCACCTATAGCGTCGAAAGCGCCTAGGGCGCTAGAGGCGCTAGCTAAAATTACTATATATAGCCTTAGGAGTCGCTAGCTATTAAATTAATCGATATATAACTTAGGCTAAAAATCGCGAAAATAGCGCCTACGGCGGCTAGCCGGCGGCTACTTAGAGCTAGATCTTTTTACTAATATATTTAAGCTTTAGTTAATAGAGATTTATATATTACGTAGGAGTTAGCTTTATAAAGTAAAAAGGAAGCTCTATAAGTAAAGGCAGATTATATTATAATTTTATAGGAAGTATACTCTTATTTAGACTACTAACCTCCGATTTATAATCTTATATATCTCTAATAATCTTTAGTATAAATATCGCCTTATATAGCTATTAATTCAAGTAGATTTCTATTAAGTTATATTTTAGTGATATAAGATATTAAGTCACGTGAAAACGTCTAAACTATTCCACCGACTACCAGAGGGGGGGGTTGGTAGTAGTATAGGTCTCTAGGGGGGCTACGCCGACGATTAAGAACAGCTGTAGTTGACGATGATCTTGATCCCTGTCACTGGCTGTGAATGACGTTCAACCCCACTGAAGCTCCTCTCGCTCAATTCAGCACAAACGGAACTTAGATGCCATCTTCTACCACAACAACCACTTCCTTTGCGACTACAATTCCACTCCTCCTTTTACTCCTTTTAGCATTCTTCCCCAATCTATTCCACCTCCTTTGGTCTGTTCCCCTGTACCTCCTAACGCCAACGACTTACCTGCCAAAATCATCCCACAACCCGGCATCACCACCCTGCCCATCGAACTGTATCCTTCAATCACCAAACATGTCTTGGTTCCAGAAATCACTCACCCTGCCCTCGAAATCACGAGGTAGCTACCTCGTCACCGACACAATCGTCAAGGACCTCCCCGAGATCAAGAACTATAAAGTTGGGCTGCTGAATCTCTTCATTCAGCATACGTCTTGTGCGCTCAGTTTGAATGAGAATTGGGATGAGGATGTCAGAGAAGATATGAGTAATGCGCTGGACAGGATTGCACCAGAGGACAGGAAAGGTAGTTTATATAGGCATAGTGCTGAGGGGCCAGATGATATGCCTGTGAGTTTTGGCACTTGGATGTAATATGATCAGGAGCGGGAGGATAAGCATTACATGCGGTGTCTGGAAAGTCTTACGACAGAGACTTGGGGCTTGAATTGGAGCCGAGCTTGAGCTGACTTGTTTGGCAGGCACATATCAAGAGTGCGTTGATTGGGGCAAGTGTTACTATTCCCATCAAGGATGGCAAGCTGGCTACGGGGACATGGCAGGGTATCTGGTATCTGGAGTTTAGAGCAAGTAAACACCAGCGGAAAGTAGTGGCTACCATTCAGGGAGAGAAGATGTGATGATACGAGGGGTTGGGAGATTTGAGTATCTTGAAGGGAATATCGTCTGGAGTTGGTGGCCTGGTTATTATGGCACACGCGGTGGTTTCGCAGGCATATATCGTGTCTATTTGTGAAGTAATCCATGATTTGAGGCATTCGCAGCCTCTACATCCATCATTTTGACAGAATCCCCCCCGCCCCTTGATTGACCAAAACAACCTCAATTGATGTCAAATCCAGACACCCGAAGTTGTTTAACTCTAAACGCCATGCCATTTCATAAAAGAAACAGTTGTCCTAGACCCCATTCTCTTCCTTCATTTCCTCGTCACCTCCAGCCAGGACCTTGGTTTGTGGCACATATCCATCCTCGGGTCCACCTCCTGGGGTAACAGCAACAACTTGACCATTCTCGTCCACAAACTCGAAGTTGTATCTTGAGAGGAGATGTGGGATTGCAGACAACTGAGGACCGTATCTTGCTGTGTTGTCATAGAGCTCAAATAGTGGGACGGCGAGTAGCTTCATGTTCTTTGGGACACTCAGAACCTCTGCAGAAGCGTCAGTAGTCTGAAATCAATATAGTAACTCGTTCGTTACTTACTCTGTCGCGGAAGTTGAATAAAATACAACTTTTTGCATTCCTTCGGCCTGGTGACATGTGCTGGAATAAATGGATACATGAAAGTCTCGAAATTCGGTCTCCACCACTGCGCCAGAGTATCACCAATCTCCCACTCCTCGTTGACACCCTCACCGCTGAATTGCGAACCGACAGGGGCCAGGCGCTCATTCAATCGCATCTTGAACCCCTCGATCTCGTCATCGTCTTCCTTGAGGTAGTCGCCTGGCAGTTTGAAGAAGGCGTTGGCGATCTGCAGCATCAGGATATGAGGATGGTTATGCTCGTGGCAGACGAGGATACCCTCGCAGGTACGGCGCATACCATGGACATCATAGTGCTCTTCTAGACGCTTGAGGCGCGCGAGGACTGAGGGGTCTTCCTCTGGTTGGGTTTCTTTGGTGCCAAAGGTGTAGTTGGAGAGGGGGTAAAGTCGGATTGTTTGGGATTGGTTGCCGTTGAAGGATTTGGGGAGGATCGGAGGGTAGGAGGTTTGAAGGGCCGTGGTTGTTATGGTCGACATTTTGGGGGTATCGAGATGAGGAAAGCTGGAATGAGAAAGTTGCTACTCAAACCTGTACTGTACCCAGCTGTAGCTGTTGATTTCTGCCGCTGGCGGTGTGATAGCGTAGGGGTACGCGACAAGGGTATGGTTGATAACGCCAACGCCCCAGGACATTGCCACGCCTATCGAGGTCAGTATGGTATGAACGTACTCGTAGAATGTAGCGAACTTGCGTCATTGCGAATTATGTTAGGAGGCAAGCTACAAGCAGAAATTGATGTTAAGATCGGCTACAGTCTAGTCTCCCTCTCATGAATTCCGCCGACACCAAGAATTGCTTGATCCCAAACATCCTCTTAGAGGGACAAATTGAGAGCAGTACTCGGGAATTGGAGCTTCCCTCCAAAGCCATTCCGAAAATTTGTTCGCATTTGACCAGGCTTTATTTCACTGAAGGTTCTGAGCCTCAGCATGGAAATGTAGGATGAGCACTGGATAACATTCACAAGCACAATCATGGTAGTCTGCAGCCTGGTATAATCTTTCATATTTACAGTGTTGACTTTCCTTGAACTCCTATAAAACATCCGCTCATCTTTGTCCCAGAGCCTCGTGCGTATTGCGTTGAGACTCAGGTACCTCGGCAGCATTTCCTTGTGGAGAAAGCGGGTATGTAGTGCTTGGGAGAGACTCAAGATGCTTTCTGTGATGTTCGTTTGCCTGTATTGTACATGAGCTTTGGCTTCCACGCAGCTGATTGTGCTCGGGAGATGTGGGATAATGATACCCTACCACGGAGAAACTTACATAAGGCAAACCACAGTATTCACACATACAGATCTGCGGCTTGTCGGTATTGATGAAAATTCTAGGATGTCCCAACGGCCCTCCACCACCGTCGCAAACTACAACTCGGTCGTGTGTCCACCGAACTGGTTGCTGGTGGATCAGATTGATGGCAGCTTGTGGTTGAGGCTGTGGAATGAATTAGCATGAAATGCATAGGTTCGTCTGTTAAGATCCGAAGCTTCTCCAGGAAGATTGTGCTCACCTGTAGATCCATGACAGTCTGCTCGAATCTAGGTCCTGACATGGCGTTTGCCCTGGGGCTTTGACTCCGCGACCAGACAGCAACTCTGTTTGGTGCTTGCTGTGCCCTCACCCTCTCACCCTCAGCCGCATTCTCCTGCAAAGTAGCATCGCTCTGAGATGACTCAATTGGTATCTCGTTGGTCTTGGAGACGTTGGGCACTGGCTTCGAAGAATTCGCAGGTGTGTTGATTCCCTGCTTGTCGTTTGCAGAGTAGGAGTATGCTCGCCTCGCCGAGGACTGAACTGTCCTGGAAAGCTGCCAAACCGCTCTTGATCTGGCGGTAGAAAGCATTGTAGTGGTAATTGCACTTCAGTTGCCCGAGGTGCGACGTTGGCTGCGCGCGTTGGATGAAGCTCCTAATTGGCTGACTAAGCATTTAGACTTTCCCTACCGTCCAGTCTGTTTGAAAACGAGCTGCACATCTCCTTGGCACTTTGCGACTTCGCGACAATGCCTGAACTGCATGCTCTTGTGTGGACCATCTAACTATACAAACAGTACGGCCAAGTATTTTGCGAGTAGCACAGTTTTATCTTCCCTTGACTCGCCGCCGTCACCTTCACAATGTCCGCTGCAAGCACTCCCGGCAGCGCTCCGAAAGCAATGTCATCACGGCTTTTGACAATGAAATTCATGCAAAGAGCTGCCCACTCCTCCTCCCCCTCCGCAGCCCCTCCTTCTCCAGATGAACCATCCCCTAAGCGTCGGCGGATAGACTTGTCATCTACAGGTACGCCATCAAAAGTCAACGTTGATGCACTTGCAGATAGGAAAGCTATTCAAGCCGCACTGGCCAGTGAGGAAGCCAAGCGTCAATCTGCTTTGGAAAAGCAAGCTGCAGAGGCTGGCGATACCAGATGGGTCTTGAGTTTTGAGGATCAGCAGCACTCGGCACCATCCCCCACGCTGGCACTACGTGTTATCCAGACTGGCTTTGCGAACCTCGACACTTCACCTTCTCAGTTTCGAATCACGGACGATGAATCCGATGACCATACCTCCATGGTCGGACGCAGAAGTTTCGGCAGATTTAATAAGGTCTTGGAGGTACGGAATCATCAACATCCGTCTTCGCAGCCAAGGTTAACATATTCAGAAACAACAAGACATTTCCATGGAGGATTCATCAGAGACCGATGATGAAGATGACGAATCAAAGTCCTCTGGTTCAGATAGCGATTCGCATGACCCAACAGGTGCCCTCATCAAAGCTTCTCGCCAGGAAGCAGCAAATCGAGCGAGAGCGGAGAGAAAGGCCAAGAAAAGAGCTGCGAAAGCTGAAGCGGAGGAGCTAGCCAAGAAGAGGAGAAAAGATGTAGTCAACCTGAATGGACTGACTAGTTTGAGTGGAAAGTCGGCACCAGTTCCAGCATGTTACAACTGCGGCGGCCCTCATTACAAGAAGGATTGTCGTGCGAATACAAACAAGCGAACGCATATGGGAGGAGATGACGGTCCGCCTAAGAAGTCCTTGAAGTTCAAGTGAAATCTGGGGCCACTATATTTACTATGGAAGTACATCACCTGAGCGTCAATTATCATCGAGGGACTCCTTCTATCTCATCTCTATCATGTCAGTGACAGGTCAACGAGGTATGCAGAAAGTGCCGATGAATGGAGGTTGCCACAGGCATCAGTTGAGCCGCACCAGCAAGAAAACGGCCCGGCAAGAAGGGCTGATTTGCCATGATCAACAAATGAAAAGAAAATACATCATGCTCCCATTTGATTTTGCCCTGCTCGACTTCTGCCCCGCTACCCTCACTCGTCTGTGTTTGGTCAGATGTACAGGTCTTTCTCTCTACTGCCTGTTCCTTCCATTTGTGGCATTTATTACCCATGGGACTGTCGCAAGGAAAGTCACCCACGCAAGTACCATGCAAGAATATCGATGATCATGGCACTAGCTCAGCCTATCTCTGATGTCCCACGCTCGTTGATTGCAGTTATTTGCACCGGACATCTGGAGTATGAAGCCTCGAGTACAACTCAAAAAGCGGTACAGATCACGAGAAAAGCCTGTGCGCATATGAGAAGTGGATGGCAGATCCGACACGATGGTAAAATTCCAGTGTGGAACATGCAATGAAAGAGTTTGCGAGCGTGATTGAATGTGCATTACACTGCAGAAAGAAGTATCGGACTAGCAAACAAAAATAGGAGGATCACCTGTCGCACTCTTTCTGTCTTGGTATGCCATTTGTTTTTTGTTTATTTGGAGATATTAGGAGGAACCTGCCGAGAAGAACTGCTCTTCGATGAACATGATCCAGACAATACCCTGCGAAATCAGTCAAACCAGGTATGGCCCCGTAAGTCGTCAGACATTGGCAACTTACGGTACGTCTTATGTAAGCTTTTTATTGGTACAAAAGGGCTTCCATACTCTGGCTCGCTGAGCATTTAGTATTGGATCAGATATTTTACATTTCTGTATGATACAAACGTCATTCGAAGTAAAAAGTCTGAAACATGCTGTCATCCAGAACAGCCAGCTGGCCCAGCCGCATATCCATCTGCCTGCTATCTTCTGTGACACCATTAGTCTCACAACCCCCCCCCCCCAAAACAACATGGGTTGGAAGCTTTTTGCAATTTCCACCAATAGTACACATGCATTAGGACTAACAGCGATTCATGACGATGTCTGTAGATTGTAGCCGTGCCTCGTGTAACAGACCGTCTGCTTTAGTTGGCCGTCTTTAGCGAGATGTGGCTGAATCTGTTGGTGTTGAAGGCTTTTTCCCCTCGCCTGTCCAAGTATATTCAACCGAGTTCAAGCTTTTACGAGATGCAGTTGTGGACTCGAGATTTTATCCACTATTGCTGCAGTGTTCTGGTTCCAATCTCAGTCTTTTTCATTGATCAAATGCGCAAGGGAATGCTACAGGTTAAAATGCATCTGAGCTTGAGGTAAAGATATGTTGTCTTGCTCCGAAGCATTTGTTCTCCGAAGAGACTTGGCAAACATCCTAGATATCTGAATTTCAAATCTCACTTCGTTTCTTACACATATTCCATTGCTGCCAAGGGAATTAGAGCGCTACCTTGGGAGGGAAGCAAATCCACTCACGCAATTAATTAATATATTCCACGTCCGAATACCAGGTTTATCCAGAAGGCTGGAGTCATTCATGGTACACCTGTCTCCAGGCCGACGACTATACTATCATATTTCTTATCGTGTAGCACGAACCCTGAATACACCATATTTCCGAATGTCAGGCAGGAGCATCACTATTGACTATACTTGAGATTCTCTGACACTATGGGTGACAACAGAGCATCTTGGCCACGAATATCACTGCTACTGATGAGATCTTAGACGAGCCATCAAGCAACCCTTGTTGTTCAATCTAAAGTATCGCAATGTTCCAAATCAAGCACAACGCCTCCTTTCGTCGTCAGTCCGGGATGACAGGTGAGAGCATGTTGGTTTAATACTTCACTCCACTATCCACTTTAATTACCGAGTACACGGTGTGGTTCTTATGTTTAGTGAAATACATGCTGGCTTCTAAAGCTGTCATTCCTCCGTTGCAAGCATTTGGTGCCGTGACGTCTGAACTCACGCCATCGGAATTAGCAAAGTGTTCAAAATAGTATGAGCATCGTACATCTAAAATGCATGAAGTTGAATTGCACTCTTTTATACGCATTCGACGGGAGATCATAAGGTCCAGCTGATCTACTGCGAGGAGAACGTGGAGATGTTGTCAAAGGTAGGAGCGGAAGTGTATTTCCCACCAATATCTTAGAGGGAAGAGATAATCAGCGCCGCTTCCCGCTCTGAAAATCCTCCAACCCACGAACACCAAATTCTGGGATAATATCATATCCCACGAAATTGCAGAATCCGAAATCGAAATCGACTTACTTCTCAAAATGGACAAGAACGTGCCTGCCAATGCCTGAACTGGGTTCCAAATGGCGAAAATCGAGGTTCTGAAGTCTGTCGACTTGAATAACGAAGCAGTAGGTAGAAACATGGTCAGTAGTTGAATTGAAGCTCACTGTTCTGCTGTAGAGCGAAGCGGGGATTGCGGGTGGAGGTTTCCGGAACACAGAGCAGAGGTCAAGGCCTTGCTCTGGAAGCAGGACATTCGCATTGTCCCCTCTGCTCAGTATTATATGTCTCATGCCCAGACCGGTCAAACATTGGTGCCTACTTGTTCAAATATGTCTGGTGCCACCAACTGACCAAGAAATTGCGCAACAGGTAATGCTAGAACTCTGAACGCCGATACACAGAACAATCTCCTCTCGGAGACGCAGGCGACAAACCATCAGTATATGTAAGTGAGCCAGTTCTCAGACATTCGGAATGATGACTGATTGTGTCAGAATTGCTTTGATGCTGTTCTTGGTTGCATATGCCATGTTCGATGCGCCTTCCAACTACCTCCTGAAGAAGAAAAAACCGAGCCCAAGCATATGGACCTCTTTCTTGATGTTCTTGTGGTATGATGTTTTCATCTAGTGCGTTCCATCACCACTGACTTACTGTCTGTTGAGAGATGTCGTCACGATCAGCCTAGGTGGCGTTCAGAAGATTGCCGATGTGACGATGGTCCGCTCCACATTGGCAATGTTTGAAGCTGGTTCGTAGAACTCATTCTGGCTACGAAACTGCTCGCATGACAGCTAATAGGTCCCTTCCCTGGTCTTATCTACTATTTGAATTCTCTTATCGAACTAATGAGATGTCAATACGGGTCGCATTTGTTCTAGCATATGCAACTCTCGCTGGTGCAGGTAAGTTCTCTGCGCGAATTGTTATTTATGGATAGGCATATAGTGGATATGATATACGTTCCTGTAATGCTCGAGAAGCTCAGCATCAAGGGATAATCAAATAATCCATTTCTTCTGCGCGCAGTCAGCGGTGCCATTGCCTATGGCGTGTTGGTGATAATTAAATGCCCCCACTCCATCTGGACTCTGACTTCATCTGGTCTATATTGCAGCTCGAGTGACCTAGATATTTACCAGTGGCCGTACGAATGGCATTCATGGTCTTTTAGCATGGCGTTTAACTTTTATGCTCGAAGGTATACCTGTTAGGTTGTTCCTATTGTCAATGTTTACACATATTCCCAGAGACATACCTTCGCCTCTATTGCTTGTTGACTCCACCATCACCTTGGCGTCCTTGTCGGCGGTCGTCGTCTATATTCTCCTACCAGATTATCGCGAGGCCGCGTGGTGGTTGAACGCAGTCCAAAAGGCACTTGCAACCTTCCGGTTGAGATCGGGAGGATCCCAGTGGCACGACGAGAACTTGCCCGGCAAGGTCATGGCTGTACCTGCTACGGCCGTTTTCCCCCTCTTGTCTCGGGACTATTCTGCCACGGAGAGTGCTGCAGAGAAAACCGTAGAAGAGTAAAGCTGACTTACAAATTTCGTACGCGTCCCGGCGAAGCAACATTCACTGACTGGCGGCTCTAACGTCCATTATGCAGTTTGCCTACACCCTTCCAGCTTGCTAAAGGATAATGACCAAGAATCCTGGATTTGCTTTGGCATCTCGAACCCTTTCTCAAGCCTGTCTGTCGCCTTTCAATCCAAACATTACTGCTGCTTTGGAATTCAAGGGACTCACCTCACAATTCATGACGGTTCTTCCCTATGCCGTTGCTTATATTGTTACCATCTTGGTATCTTATTCAGCAGATCATTTCAATGCGTGGGTATCACCGAATGCAGAGCTTGACATAGCTCTGACTCTATGCCAGACCTGATATTATGGCGGGCCAAACCCCGAAGACCCACACAACAAGAGAGGCAGCACTTAAAGCACAAGAAAGTACGTTGATACAAAGATCAGGATTAAGCAAATCTCGAGATATCACATATCTGAAGTGCGAGATTTGTCAAGTAAGAGGCGAAGAAAAGAATAAATCAGATAGGATCTCTCTCAGAGCGTATTCATCGTGATTTTCTTAAGTGTTATTGTTGACTTTATGTGCTCAAAGGAATGGCGACTTCAAACCTCCAAGTCTCACAAATTAGCTGCATCAGGTAATATGACCTACCTGCACTGCACTACCACCTAAACAGCAAAATCAGGTGGCCCTGCCACAATACGGAGGTATTCATGCAGCATTCTCAAACATCGGCGCAATTGGTTTTCTGGTGTCTGCAGTTCCCTCCTCATGATGACTACCTTGCAAACCTCATTTTGCTTTCTCTTCGGACGGACACTAAGGCTCGTAGTCTCGTCACGATTGTTTGATTGTTGCGGCTTCTGGAGAGTTCTCGTGTACCCTCCACCCCTCGGTTGGCTGTCTTCAACCTTCACTCTGCCGGAGCTATTGGGCTCACCATTACAATCCATATCCCTTTGTAAGGGCGCCTGGCCAGACTGTCGGGGTTTGGATTTACAAAGCCAGTGAAGCGAAGGAGGGCTATACAACAGGTCATGTAGATGCTTGCCCCATCCCCTTCATTTCTCCTTCGCCAAGCCAGGAATATCCTAGCTTCGCTATAAGTCAACTTCTCATTTGGCTACAGACTAGTTTTGGCCTCTCCAAAGCGGACAATTGCTAGCCTCATATTCTTTGTCGCCGTTGGGTACGGGAAGCCAATGAATCACTTGTGCGGAACGTCCAATTTCATACTTGTAAACACTTAATAATTAATTCTGCCTAAGCCTATACTTTGATTTTGTACTACATGTATAAGAAAGTATACTTACTATTTGATAGAGTTTTTAATTCTAATACTAATACTAACCGAGTTGAAATAAGGACTATAAGTAGAGTAGGTAGGGAGCTTTATAGCTTATAGCAAAGCTAAGTCAGCTATTTTCAGTAATCCTACTCTACTTGAAAAAGTTATATTTCTAACCCCTCTTATATTACTACGAAACTACTTTTAATATTAATTCTAAATATATCAAAAAAACAACTGTATTTTAAATATTATCTCTATTATTTGAGAGTGTTATTATACTGCTAGAAAGTAGTAAAATAAATAGGTCAGAATCGAGGTTTAGACGTGCCGCACAAGTGATTCATTTGGCTTCCCGTAGTTGGGGGGCATTGCGCTGATGCTTTGAGGCTGCTGAAACCGCAGAACTGTCAGAGATGGCAGCGGAAGGGATGCGAAAAGGCCATTCCGATACTGAAATTCTCGTCTTTGTCCTCCACCCAAGCGGGAGCATCAGTGTTGGATGGGTACCTGTACTTTCGTCGGCGGGCAGCGTTAAGTCACTGATTGTGGGCTGTTACAGGCTGGGAGTCTCGTTCCATTATTCTGCTGCCAAGAATACCTAGAACAGGATTAGCACGGCGCTTTCTGATTTCCAAGGCAAGGTATGATAGGAGCGCTGGTGATATTCCAAGCTCATCACCAATAACTATCTCGCGCATTGCGTGCTTGTCACCTGTTGTCCTCATTGAACCATTGCGGCTGGTTCCTCGCGCTCCAGGCAGGCTGTCTTTGGAGTCTTAGAGGCATGTTTGTTTTAAGGTTGCAGCCCGGGGCTCAAAAACAGATCACCGTGCCAGAGTCCTACGTTATGGTCCGACGGCAAAATGGGCATACCGTGCCTAGGTAGGTTGGTACACTAATTGTCGCGCAGCTTTGCCGGTTGGGTAGGGTCTGTGGTCCTACGATTAAATATATCTTTGCCTTGCCGTCCCTCGGTGCTGGGCTTAAACCTGGCACGTTGATGTTGCGTCGCGTCGCGCGGCCCAGTAGTAGTGGAGCGGTGCGGTGCGGTGCGGTGCGGTGCTGTGCGGTGCGTTGCAGTGCAGCGGTTAAGATGCTGACAGGGTCAAGCAGCCAGCCGCTTTCTGCACGACATCTAATATCTGTTGGGTAGGGATGGGTTAACGCTAATATAATAATAGATTATTAACACCCCCCCTATTTATTAATTAATAACAGATAAAAGGCTTAATAACTCATATGACTTTAGTATACCTCAGTATATTTAATATACGTGTATATCTTTATTTAAAGGTAATTTTATATAGTAAAATCAAGAATATAAACGATTTAAATAGTATTTATTTATTATCTTTAATATTAGCGGTTATAGTTCTTAAATCCTCTAAATTTAATAATATTTTATCTAATAGAGCTTTAAACTCTTCCTTATATTAATCTACGTTACCTCTTATCCTTTGTAAAGCTCTTAAATTTATATATATAAACGCTATTATATTAACTTCCTTAATCTTTAATCGAGACTGTAATTTTATATAGAGGAAGTTAATTATAGAGAAAGCTCGTTTAAAAGAGATAGAGTTTATAGTTACGTAAAGAAGTTTAAGAGCGAGTTTTAATAGCGTAAGAGCGTATAGTCTCTAGATAACTTAATTAGCTTTAAATTACAGAAGGAAAGAAGTAAGAATAAGTACAGATATAGTTTAAAAGTACTTTAGTTTATCTATAAATTCAGTTTAAGCTAATTTTATAATATAGAAGCTATTCTTCTTATTCTAAAAGTCTTAATATTATTCTTATTCTTATATACTAACTTTCTCTATAAGGTAATTATTAAGCTTTTAAAGATATTCTAGTGCGAGTTTAATAGCGTAGTTTATAAGTTGAAAAGCGTAAGTAGCGATATAGATAAGTAGGATTTACTTACTTAATTAATCAGTTAATCCTCTATAGCTAACTCTCTAGTAGTATACTTATATATTACGCTAAAAGTAAGAGACGCCTAGTTAAGCTTAATTACGAAGATATTATTATAAGGAAATCTATTAAGGAAAAATATATACGAGCTTTAGCTTATTTAATTTAGAATAGCTTTACTAAATATAGATCGGCTTAATAATCTAAGAGAGTTAAAATAATCGATCGAAGTTAGATTCGTTAGAAAAGAGAGGTTTAAGTATATTTACTATATAAGGTTTATCTTTATAATTAAGTAAGTTAATCTTATTTATAAGGATAGAGTTAACTTAACGCGATTAAGTTTCTTAGTAAGTTAGTACAGTTATAATAAAAGCTTTCACTTTATTAATACCTTCTTAAAAGAATACTAGCTCCTTCCTTAACTATAAAAAGAAGGTAATAATAGTACTAAGAAAAGTAGCTTAAAAAGTAGAGATTTTTAACTTGATTTTATAGTTATTCTTATCTATACTTAGAAACAGAATATCTTTTAATAGTAATTAAAGGCTATAGGAATCATATAAAATAAAATAGATATATTTTATAGTAGAAGAAGAGCTTAACTTTAACTAAATAGCTCTTTAAGTTAAATTAGTATCAGATAAGAAAGTAATCTATTAACTTAGGTTGCTATTTATAATATTTATAGCCTCCTTAATTATATAATTAGTAATCTATTCTACTCTTACTATTATTAAACTAATAACTTTCATTAACTAATAATATAATTCGTTACTACTAAAGAAAGAGATATTCTTAACCTTTTCTTTTATAATATTTAAGGAGCTATTAGAAACGATTTAAATATAACTAGATAAGTCAGCTATAACTTAAACTATAGCTTTAATATTAGTATAAATTTAAGGAAGCTACGTAGTTCAAAGAGTTAAACGTTTTAAAGGTAAGAACTTAAGCTTCTTCTATAGAGCCTCCTATTCTAGAGACTTAAATTAGTTAAAATTAGCTATAAAAGTAAGAATAGTAATTACGAATAGCTCTTTAGCTAACTTATTTTATATTATAAAGAACTTAGTAATTATTACGTTTCTCTTTCTCTTAATAATAGTTTAATTAAACTTTATATACTTCTTCTTAATATATAGTCGTAAGCTATTTATAATATTCTAAGCTATCTTATTATAGTAATACTTACACTCGCTTATTTTCTCTCTTTTAGTAATCACAGGGTATTTAATAAAGTAGGAATAGATCTACAAGTAAAAGAGATTAAGAATATAGTTTATTTTAATAATTTAGTATAGTTCGTAAGGAGATATTAATAAAATTAAAAGAGCTATAAGTAAAGAGAGAGAGTAGTAAGCTAAGGTTATTCAGAGAACAGTAGTACTAAATAAGCGATAATTTATAGCTTCTAATTAGCTACTAGGTCGGATTTATATTATTCTAATCACGTGCTTAATAAATAACAAATAATAGAGTGAGTCCATTAAATCCCATTAATTATTAAAATCTCTCTATTAACGAATAACGGCAACCCTACTGTTGGGACTTGGGAGTCTTGGGACTCGGTAGTCGGGACCCTCGTCTTCTCGTCCCCCCCCGTCCCCCCTTCTCCTCCATGGTTGGAAGGATGTCACTACAAGTACAAGTACAAGTATGTAGGCAAGGTACCTAAAGTACGGCTTCGTAAGTGAGGATGATGGGCTTGAGGCGGGGCTGCTAGGTAAAGGTACCTTAAAGTACCTAAGGTAGGCTCGCTAGGTTTCAATTCCCCTCGGCTCGGCCCAGTATTGTGAATTTACTACTACAGCGGAGCGGTACTGTATCTGCTCCGCCTCTGGTCTTGGTACCATGTCTTGTCTAGCTTCGGACACTTTTCCTGGCAGGCGGGCGAACAATCTCTCCAGGCCACGTAAATTACCTAAATATACCTAGATAGTATGTCACTTGCAAGTTGCAACACGCAACACGCTACAGAAGTACACACAGCCTTGATCGCGAGAAACCCGATCGATTTCAATTTATTCTCCCTTCCCCCCTCCCCCCTTCAATTTCTGTTCCAGTTATTTCTATTGTCTCTCCAACCACCAATTGCTCGACTGCTCAGCCATCATCGATCGTCGACTCCAATCAGGTTCTAGCAGCCCACCGCAGCCCACCGCAGCAATGGCAACAATCACGCTCGATCCCAATTACGGCTATGTCCTCCTCGCCGCAGCTTCGACATTCGTCATGAACGCCATCCACACAGTCAATACTGGCAACTACAGGAAGGCAGCGAAGGTACCGTACCCCGCAGCCTATGCTCCTGACACCCGAACAGATGACGCAGCTGTCAAATTCAATTGCGCCCAGCGAGCACACGCGCATTTCATTGAGAACCAAGTCACAGCATTAGGAAGCTTGATCCTGGCTGGCCTTCGATTTCCTCTTACTGCAGCAGTCTTTGGCCTGGGATGGAGTGTGTCGAGATATTTCTACATGACAGGGTATGTGGAAAGGATATGGAGAAGTACTATTTGGAAAATCTTTGCTGACGTCAACCTAGTTATTGCAAAGGAGGAACTGGAAAGGGCAGATACAATGGCATTACGTTCTGGTTGTTCCAACTTGGACTTTTAGGTCTCACGGGCTACAACGGACTTGCCATGATTCTGGGTTGGTAGATCATTGGAAATGCTCGGATTGCACCGAGTGGGACTTTACGGAGCTATGTCGTGAGCGAACTCCGCAGGTCGAAAGAACGTAGCTGAGAAACAAAAGCCGTCTTTGAGGTTCTTAACATGGGTTCGCATAGCAAGCTATATGGCTTGATTGGGATTTATACTATCTCATGGCCCAGTTATGTACTTATGTACTTGCTAAGCTAGCTTTCAGCATTCCTAACTACTTGAAATGTGATCCCCAGAAACACGAAACGCCTAGCCAACACGGAAAACAAGGAAGTCGAAAGGACACAATGGTAGTCCTGGTTGTCCTTCCCCACCATCATTATCGTACGCACCTGGCCAGTTAAAGCTTCCGGCTATGGGTGCATTTTTCATAAAGATTAATCCGTGCATCTCAACGTGGGCTCTCTCCACTCCAAGTCAAGCCCAGAAAAGACCATTTTTTCTTTCTCGAGCATATCATGACCGCCCTTCTCTAGGTCAACCCAAGTCCCATTATCAAGACGCCGAATCCCACTGCTGTCGAACTTGAGATTCTTCTCATGACGGCAGTATCTTCTGATATCCATCTCAAAAGTCGTTCCTCCAGTCCATCCAACGACGGCACATCCAGCAGTCTTCCATGGTGTGATCATGATATCCACTCTTCGGTGAGGGTTGGGATTTCTCGCTTTCGGGTTCTGTTTCAGATCTTCTTCCTTGGTTGGCCACTCCGGATCCTGCCACACCACAAGGCCCTTATCAAGCGAGTCGAAGCCAGTACCAGATTTTGGCATGCTACCTTTCCATTCAAGGGGAGACTGACCTCTGTCGCTAGTTTTCGAGGACACTTGAAGCTGGTGAGTGATGTATTCATTATTTTCCAAGTTATCTAGGAGATCTCGAATGAGATCCTCGGTTGCATCCTCGTCTGGGTGGCTCAACATGACATCTACATCACCCGAGTCTAGTTTGCCTCTGCGATATCCGCCACAGATTACCATTTGAAATCCTTTTCGAAACTTGTTGGCATGGTCCAGAACGATATTACCGATACTTTCCACTTCAGCACGTGGTATTCTCAGCTGAAAGTCATCGTAGAGTTTGACACCAATCTGTTGCGATCTTGAAAGGCTACCCCTACGGTAGCGGAATCAGTATATAACCTTCGATAGGAATATCAGTAGGGTTAATAAATGAATGAGCTTACCAGCCATACTGAACGATATCATCAAGGTCTGTCCATCCATTATTGTGGAATTTCACAGCTGTCATAGCGGCGACGTCATAGATATCGTAGAAAATGTTCAGAATATTCATACGGGGGTCTTCAAGAATGTCTTCGACTTCTTTGATACGTCCGGTCTTACTCCATTCGTACCAGAGATTGGCAAATTTTTCTCCACAGCAAGGTAGTCTGATGACCTCCTTACGGGACGTTATCGTGAATGGATAGGCCGCGAGCGAGGCAATAGCTGAATGGTATGTGTGCCTTTTCTTTTCCTCTTCATCAATTATGCGTGCTTTCTTGATGATCTTGAGTAGCCTGATGAACTCATCATTGGGGCCATGCATGGGTGTAGGACGCTGACAGGAGTATGTTGTGCGCAAATAGCCTGGAAGTTCAGGAAGCTCTTCTTCATGCTCATGATCCGCTGTATCCTCTTGGTAGAGAACCGGAACCGCTTGGCTATCCGTCTTCTTATGGCGATAAACGTGATTTCTTGGTCCTGCTGGTAGAGGGGTGTCTGCTCTTGCTCGAGACAAGACACTGGCCTTGTCCATGGGCTGATTTGAGCCTGCCACCTTTTGAGTCGGCTTTGAGATAATTCTGCCTTCGTAGATCAGATACGGCTCTCTCGGGAGCAGATTCTCTGACTTGATTGAATCTTCAAACCATTCAAGCCTGTATACCTTGACCGTGTCATTGGCATTTGTCTTGCTTGAAGCTTGTGATTTTCTAGGTGCATTTCGACCACGCTTGGGACTTGGCGTTTCCATGTGCGACTCGGTATCTGAGGCAGGCGGTGTGCCTGCATCTGTGCTCAGAGAGATAGCCTTTGTGCAATCTTCATGGGTGATTGCCTTGCGCTTCTTCGCCGCTGATCTTGGATCTTCACCATCGGTTCCTGCCCCTCCACTATCCTCATCTTTAACAGGGGTTGATAGGTCTTGTGTCGTATCAGCTGTGTAAAGTCCTAGTTTTCGCAATTCATATGCAATTCTCCCCCTGGTAGTGCTGATACCTAGAAACAGCTTGGTCTCGTTGACATTGTACTTGATGTTGCCCAGTTGTTCCTCGATCTTGTGAAGGAGATCGGGTTCTGACTCGAAGCCGTTCTTGAGAATATAGACCGGCGGGAAGTTCACGGCCATCTCATCGAATCTGATGCCAGACGGAGAATGTTCGATACCGGGTGCTTGAAAGTTGCACTTTGAACAGAGCTCTAGAATACTCGGTTGCCAGCAGTAATGGTCGATTCTGCGAACGTCAAATAACTTTAGACCTGAGCGAAACGCGCTTCGTAAAGAAAACTGGTTACAGTATCCATTGTTGGCTAGAATGGATCCCACATGTGTGCGGCTTCAGAGGTATCTCATCGTTCCGCTCGTTGCTGGTGTTCACCGGCTGGAGCATACCTTTCATATTGAGCTTTCGTAATCAGTTACTGTACAGCATTACCGAGATCACGTAATCAAGGCAGAAAGTCCATTGGTGGTCATCAATAAACACCGGGAATATTGGGTATTGACAGGGGGATAAAGTATCCACGTGATGAGAGGGGGGAGCTTGCTACCATAGAGGGGAGCGCGGGACTGAGTACACTATTATACCTACAGTTGTTGCGTAGTCGACAGTTAAGTTACCGTCTGGGGACTGTTAATATTTTTCTAGGTGACTGTTAGCAATTAATTTTGAATTGACTGTTTTAGGACAGTGTACCCAGGGCAGCACTTTCCTTTAAGGTACTTTCGGCTTAGCTTACAACACGTGAGCACTGACTCTACTTAAGTAGTCTACCCTACTCTAGAACACACGAATAGAATGCAACCTTTTCCACTCTAAATAAACCTCCCTTGTAGAATTATAACTGGTTCCTATTACGTAGTACAGAGTGGAAGTCCATATCAAAGAAGCCTCACTATCTAGAACGTTCTCAGGATCAATAGGATTTGGAGGATTGCACACTTTAAGCTTGCTTAAATTCGCGCATATAGTATACTCTGCATAGCCTCGAAATAGTTTGACAATCATTATTCAAGAATGAATTCGTCTTTTATACATTTATAATATCTCCAGAGGCAGTACGAACCTTTTCGTCCGGCATTGGTATGTAGATCCCGGTAAAAAGGAAGGGGGTAACGAACTAGGCTGCAAAAGTCCGTGCGGTACAGGCTTAAGATTACTAAAATCTATTTTTTCAAGAACTTAGAAGGTGAAATCAGATATTCGTAGTTAAGAGAATTGTTCTTTATATACCTTAATATTATATCCTAGAAGGTATTTCAGTTTAAATATATTTTCATAGTAATACAAAGCTTTACAACTAGGCTATATCATCAAAAAAGCGAGTCTCCTATTCAAGCGAGATAGCCTGAACCGCACGGACTTTTGCAGCCCAGTTCGTAAGGGCTCAATCTAAGGATTGGATGAGTGCATGTGTACATTATCCCAATGCCCAAACGCCAACCAAGTTCCCGAAGCTATCTCCCTCTCTGCAGAGTGAGGCAGACTACAAAAGCCGCGACATTCAGACATCCTCAAATTCCATGTCCTCTTCGCTTTCGTCCTCATCCCTTTCGTGTAGAGATGGGTATTCGATTTTAACTTTTTTCGCGGGCCGGCCATCTTCATTTGGTGTAGCTGGTCCTGTCACCGGACTTGTTGCACCCGTGCTCGTTCCACTACCAGAAGCACTACCGCCCTTTTTCAAGATATTGGCAAGACCGGTTGATGGAAATGAGGTTGGTTTGGAGTCAATGGTTGAACTTGTAGGTGTAGCAGCACCAGAACCGGTGGGCACCACATCTTCAAAGTCTTCGTCGTCATCTTCGTCAGTTTCGTACTCTTCGTCTTGCTCTCGTTCTGCTTCTTTTGCCTGTTCCGCACGCAAACGTGCAAAGTAGTCATCGATTTCGGTACCCTCTGCAGTGCCAGATGGAGTGTCAAGGTCGGTTTTCTTGTCAACTTCAGAGGTAGAGATGGTTGACGCTCCAGGACCATACTTGACTTGCTCACCGGTAACGGTGCTGTGAGTGAAGTGCATTGGCATAGCATTCTGTGCGGCAGTCTTCTCTTTCAGTGCCTTCTCAGCAGCGATCTCTGCTTCCGTTGGCCCGTCTGAGGCCGTAAGCGTGACCGAAATAGCTGTGTTGCTTGCATTGGCCATTCCACGAACAGCTGTTGGCTTGGAAGCAGATAAATCTACCGGTGCAGTCTCATTTGCAGGGTTAGTCTCGTCTCGGACCACCTTGAGCTGAGATGCCATCGCACGATCGAATGTGTTTTCTGGGATAATAACCTCGTCTATCTTAGGAAGCAATTCGGTAATAAATCTGAATTGCGAGTGATACTTCGTAGACTGCTCATGCCCACCTTTATTGTTGTCGGGGTCATGCTTAAGAACACTATTGCATCGCTGACAAAGGAAGCCGTTTCTGGCCATGTCCCATCTGTGAAGGACCTCGAGCTGTGTCCATTCGGACTTACAGGTCAAACAGAAGTATTCCTTTCTTTCGATCTCTGGAATGGTATTGCCTTGAACTTGCTTGTTAAGGAGGTAGACACGCCACTTTATTGCATCAATGGTCGCTCTGTAGTCGATGTAGTAATAGGTTCTGTTCATGGGGCGTTGCTGGCCTTCTTTTGCCTCTTGGCGAGTATGACTGTGGAGATTTTAGCTGCTATACGGAGATAGGATCAGCGATATGTGCCTACACAGCGAGAAACCTATCCTCCTTCAGACGGCCACATAGCTTGTGAAGCTCCTTGGTATTCATGCCCATTAGATATGCCATGTCATCGTCACGCAAACTATCCTTTGTCAGCTTCGGAACCTTGGAGACGCTACACTAGCTAGAGAGACATACGCCGAGTGAATAATCAGCGCATCTATGACCAGGATGTGCTTGGTTTCGTAGAATGATCGTATGCAAGAGCGCACAAGACTCTGCGCCAACTCCATAACTGCCAGATTTTGCAGATATTATACAGATTCTCAAAGGTAGTCAGTGCTTGAAAGGACTGTTGGATGGTGTCCAAGCTTGTGGAGTAGCTCAAAGGTTGCAGAGCTCGATCGAGGCTGGTTCGCTGTCAGTGGAGGTTAGAGACTCCCATATTCACGGTAGACAGCATGTGTCAAAGGGAAGGGAAAGAAGCAAGCGATGAGGCGCGCACAATGAAGAGACTACAACAGAGGGCTAGTGAGATATGAGTTGAAGTGATTAGCTAGCCCGGTGTCAATCAAGATATTGACTTGCATCTAGAATCTGAAGCTGAGGGCGCGGGTGCAGGGAAGGCAAGGCTGACAAGGCGCTAATCCGAACACGGCTTTGGCTTTGATATTTTCTTAGCGAGGCTACCTTACTGCAGGACGCAACTTTTGCTCTCTCCTCCCGCACCATTGATTAAATGCTATGAAAACTTTCCGACACACACAAAGATGGCCGACAGTTCTTCCGCAGTTGTGCCTGCGTGTGGCAGTGCCTACAATGGTAACGAGAATGACATTTCACAAAATGCAAATCCGGGCGACAGGCAGAGGAAACAGCGTGGCAGAGGTCGAGGGAGGGGTGGCCAGGGTCGGGGAGGTAGAGGCGGCGGTAGGGGGGGGAGTCGTGATCAGAGAGGCTTCACATCGAAAGATCAAGGTGGCCGCAACAAGAAGGGGGAGGTGGGACGAGGAGAATGGACGTACGTTGGCCTATGTTCTTGTACTTTGCTTGACTAACTAAACAAAGTCGAGGCAATATAGACAAACGAAAACGCAACGATGAAGATCAAGCTGCAAAGCGTCGCAAGATCAACAATGGACAAGAAGTAGCAGAAGGAGCAGACCTTCCATTCTCAAGAGAAGAAATCGATGCCGAGGGTCGAAAACCGAAGCGTAAAGTTGCAGTGATGATCGGGTATGCAGGCTCTGGGTACAAGGGCATGCAGATCAATGGCGCAGAAAAGACTATTGAAGGAGACATCTTTAAAGCATTTGTGGCTGCAGGGGCAATCTCGAAAGCAAACGCAGACGATCCCAAGAAATCATCTCTTGTTCGTTGTGCGAGGACTGACAAGGGTGTACATGCCGCAGGCAATGTCATATCATTGAAGCTCATTGTCGAGGAATCCAATATCATCCAACTCATCAATGAGAATCTGCCCCCTCAAATTCGTGTCTGGGGCATCGAACGAACCAATGGGTCCTTCAGCTGTTACCAAACCTGCGATTCAAGATGGTATGAGTATTTAATCCCAACATATTCTTTTCTTCCACCACATCCACAGAGTTTTCTAGGTAAGAAACTTGTCGAGTCTGCGGAGAAGGAGGGGGTATTTGAAATTTACCAGTCCCGACAAGAGGATGTCATCGATTTTTGGGAGTCAACAGAGGAGACTTACGTCAAGCCAATACTGGACAAGCTGGACCCTGAGCTAAGAGAGGCTGTTCTTTCTACCCTCCACAGTTTGGAGGATCCCACGACTGGGAAGACTACCTCAAAACCAACCGACAATGAGGATCAGCTAGTACCCGAGATGATTCAAGGTGTTGAGGAAGTAGGCAACAGAAACCTTGAATCTCAGAAGGCAGGGAAGACTTCTGCAAAACTCGAAGTTGGGGAAAGAGATACATCTCTGCTCCGGGAAGATATCAACAAGGAATATGCACAGAACATTGAAAATCCAGCGGAGCCTTCTAAATCGGTTCTCAGCCCTCTCGAAGCAACGATTAAAGAGATCAAAGCAGCTTATATTACAGCAAAGAAAGCGTATCGGATATCAGCTTCTCGTCGGGAAAGGGTCCAGCAGGCGCTGAGCAGCTATGTTGGCACTCGAAATTTCCACAATTACACAATCCAGAAGACGTTCTCGGACCCATCAGCAAAGCGAGTAATCCGTTCCTTCAAGGTTGGTCCAGATCCAATCATCATCAACGACACCGAATGGCTCTCATTGAAGGTCCATGGTCAGTCATTCATGATGCATCAGATCCGGAAGATGGTAGCTATGGCTGCCCTCGTTGTAAGATGCGGTTCGTCCTTGTCGATCATCAACGATAGCTACGGTGCAGCAAATATCAGCATTCCAAAAGCACCTGGTCTGGGCCTGTTGCTGGAAAGACCAGTGTTTGACAGCTACAACCAAAAGGCTGTGAACGAGTACAAGCGAGAAAAAATCAACTTTGACAATTATCAAAAGGAAATGGATGAGTTCAAGCAACGTGAGATTTATGATAGGATCTTCAGGGAGGAAGAGCGTGATCACCAGTAAGTTTTCAATAGTGGCATCAATACAGATTTTACTGCTATCGCCGACCCATAAGCTAATGACCATAGGTTCCATGCTTTCTTTCATCATGTCGATCACTTTCGAACAGATTTCTTTCTTTGGGTAACAGCTTCCGGTCTCTCTGCTGCGAAACAAAGCACAGCACCAGCTCGGACGGACAATAACAGCGATGATGAAGCCGATGTCAACGGGGAGGAGGGATAGAAGTCAGCATTCGCCGGATCCTGCAAGCATCAACCAAAAATGGCTCCCGTGCCTGGTCAGAAGCTGGCAACCGCAAACCTTGCTATACAATCATTGATGCATTGTACTTCAAGCAATATGATGAGAGTCGAAGTACAGGATCTTTCAAATCAACGTCCCCCATGAAACTATTTCCTATACGTGGTGGACAGAAATGCAAATGTGTATAGATGAGTCACTGGTGTCTTCTGATCACCCAAATTCGACGTTGCCAACTTGATATATTACAGATGACGCCGCTTGGCTGTATGGGCTAGGGAACAGGTATCTACTTCCAACGTAGCTATAAAGTTCAAGAAAGTAGACTAGAGAATGGTCTGCATGCATCAAAGTGGAATATATAAAGCGCATCCTGGTGCATAAAGCTGGTATCTAGAACGCCGTTGTATGCATGACCCATCCATATGTTAAGCAGCCCAAACGTCTATCCGCACCTGACCAAACGCCATCACCCCGAAGCTGGGTGCTCGGCTGCCCTGGTCAGAGCCGCTTCAACCAGTTCTCCAGCCTTCCGAGAGTCGCTATCCATTTGACCTTCTCCTTCCCCGTCCCTAATGCCGCGCAAAGGGCCAAACAGCCACAGCTCTTTCAGTTCGCGGGACAGCTGGAGCAAGTCTTCTGTGGCGCGAATCTGCATAATGCAAAATTCAGTTCCAACTCTTAAATTAATGCTACACAGACAATCAAAGTATATCATACCAAAGCAGAGCCCTCAACTTCCATTTGAAGTCCATGTGCAGCAGCCATTTCTTTCGTTGCTCCATCGTGGACAGGTTCCGTAGCGAGGGTGACTAGGGCCTTGAATCGAGTAAGCAGGGCAGCAACAGCGCGCTCTTCGCGATCTGCAATGCTATTAGAATCCGAGCCTACACAAAGATCTCCGTTCAAGGGAGCTGCTGGTGTTGTAGAGTGTGGACTTCCTGTGGTAGAGGAAAGGCGGCCACGACTGGCCGCAGTGCTGATACTGGGGGTGAGTGTCTCAATCGTCGGAGTTTGCAGGTTCGAAGATGTTCCATGCGAAACGCCATTGGTGTGAATATCATCCAAGTACGACCCGGCGGATTGCGCCATGTTGTTCCTTTAATTCTTTGGTGCGTACGTGGGACTTCTTGGGTGATGGCGCCTGTGTGCTCCAGGCATGAATGAAAGGGAGAGAATGGAGGTAAAATGGTGCTTACCAACGAGGCTGCTTGTTGTGCGCTGTGCGCTTTCCATTTGAAGAGAGTGAATGCAATTATAAATATCAATATATGTATAGGTATAAGTATAGGTACTTCTGGCGGTTGAAGCTAGGTGGGTAAGGGCGAAGTGAATGTAGGTATGAAGGTGAAATCGAGGAAAGTGTAGGTACCAGAGTTACCTAGGACCACAGCTGTGCCCCTCCCTCGGCCATGGCCAGGTGGGACCATGCCGCCCTTGGAATACCCCACTTGGTACCTAGCGGACACCTCCATGCCGTCCAGGTAGGTAGGTACCTTACGAGAATTAGCCTAGACCTTTCAACGGTAAATAAACTGTGATTAGTGTGTCATTACACGAAAAGTAGTGATCCTTACGTCTCGTTCATTTACAGTGTAGTAACGGTTGTTTAAGGGTTATTACAGATAAACGATTTTCCCGGTCCGAGTTCGAAATAAGTAAAAAAGCTAAAAAAAACCTAGACTTAGTACTCTAGAATATACCTAAGGTAGAATCTACCCCTAGACACTATATAAGTTAGGTTATAAGTTTAAGGTTTATAGGTTTATATGTTTATAGATTACAAAGAGGTTACTTATCTAAGTAGGCTATAAACAGATTATAAAACAAGCGAAAACTTCTTATTTAACTAAATATATTAGATTTATTCCTAGTATATAGCTAAGTTCAAATAACCTTTAAACAACCGTTGATTTGATCAACGGTTAATATCATATTTAAATTATATAACAACAAATAGACTATAGATACATAAGAGTATTCTAATTCCGCGCTAATCCCAGTCGATCAACTAGAGAAACCTTCCATATAGTTCCCGTAAGGTAGGTAGGTATCTAGGCGAGCTAGGTAACCTTTCACTCTATGGATTGCCCCGACTTTCAACAATAACCAACGAACAAGCATAAGCATAGATTGCCTTAAGCCCCGAACACAATGCAGTCCGGAATATCAGGCTAGTTATAAGCAGCTTCTCAGCCCTCCGAACATGTCTAACATCTCCAAGCCTCGCAAGAGCTCCATGCAGCCTTCCAGACCCTCGTTTCCTCGGAGGCTCAACGCGGCCTCATCTGCACCATCACCAAAGAATCCCTCACCCCGCTCACCGTCCTCAGTCCAGCTACTTCCACGTTCTCTGACGATCTCTCCCTCCTCGCACCCCATCTAGATCCTAGGGTAGCTCTTTACATCATCCTGCGACGTTATGCTAGCTCCGAAACAGCTCCTTTCATCGCCATCACATATGTTCCAGATTCCGCTCCGGTCCGACAGAAGATGCTATTCGCATCTACTCGCTTGACATTGGTCCGGGAGTTGGGAATTGAGAGGTTTCGCGAGACGATATTTGCGACCACGAAAGAAGAGTTGACGCCACAGGGCTTCGAAAAGCATGATAAGCACGTTGGTCTTGCAGCACCTTTGACGGAAGAGGAACATAGTTTAGGAGAGGTGAAAAGAAAGGAAGCAGAAGAGGGCAGGGGTATGAACGAAAGGAAGAGCCATGTTAGTTCGGGAGTGAGCATGCCGATCAGCGATGAAGCTGTGGAGGCTTTGCGAGGCCTTACAAGTGATAGTGGGAATAGTCTGGTTCAGCTGGTTCGTTTTGTCCTGATTATCTTCTCGGATAAACTACTAACTTGCTGAACGAAAATCAATATCTCAACAGAGACCATGGAGTTAGCATCTAGTACCTCAACCCCAATCTCTGCCCTCCCCACGACGATTTCAGGAACCCAGCCACGGTACTCCTTTTATCGATACAACCATACTCATAATGGAACCTCATCCTCACCAATCCTATTCATCTACACTTGTCCTTCTGGGTCAAAGATTAAGGAACGAATGTTGTATGCCGCGTCCTCGCGGTCCGCTGTCCGGGTTGCCGAAGCAGAAGCAGGCCTAAAGATCGAGAAGAAGATTGAAGCCAGTTCACCTGAGGATATTTCGGAAGAAAGCATTGACGGAGACTTATATCCCAAGGTGGAGGTCAAGAAGGCGTTTGAAAGGCCCAAGAGACCTGGGAGAAAATAGATGGGCAAGTGAAGTGAGCGTAAGATACACGAACATGACGACGAGCGTAGTGGCAAGGTGGACAGAAGTCTATTTTCGAATACTGCGCTGGTCTACACGATCCCTTCATGCGCAGTGTCTGCAATTCGGCCATGCAGAAGGTGTGATCAACTTTGTGAGGCTACTAATTGCTGGCTGTCGTCGCCGAGATGCTGAAGTCTATGCAAGCTTCCAAATGACAGATGTACTCCGATTTCCTCAATCCGAAATTGTCCCATAGCAGGTATCATTTACTCTTCGTACTTTCCCCCAACAATAGGCACGGTACTATTCTCTAATTTCTCTTTCAGAAACTCGTAAACGGTAAATGTCACAGCCTGACCAGGTGCTACACGCATGATTCGTGGTGTGATGCCCTTGTAGAAAGCATGAAATCCTTCTTGTCTAATTTCAGTCCAGTCAGTTGGATATTCTTAATCTCCCGGGCCACTATCGGATGAGAAAGACTCACTTAAACATGTCTCTCGCAATTGCTGTTATCCTGCTTATCGCCGTCTCACCCGGTTGCCCTGGAGTTTTCTGTAACCGAGTCTTAATAGTATCAATCGGTGCATTGGAGAGTGGACCCATAGCTCCTGACACAAGACCAATGAGCGTTGTTTGATATGAGGGCAATGGCGTCTCTGCGTAATCTGGTTGCCATCTCTGCAAAATTTCTTTAAATTCGGTGTACGCAGTGAAGTTTACAGCTTGGTTTGACCCTATCTTGCAATTCAATAAAAGCGGACTCCCAATTATCTCCTGGTACCTAAGTGGGGCAGAATCTGGGGTAGCGGGGTCAGACAGAGACAATGGAAATCAATGTACGTACCTTGCCGTAATGCAGTAAGTGACACTCCGCGGTACAGAGCTCCGACGCCTTCTTCTTTGATCACAGTATAGAGAGCATGGGCGGCGTTACGGTATTTTGGTATATCGAGAGGATCGGCCATGCTGTGATGTTGAGCCTGCAGCCGGATTTTGATTACTTCCATGGGAGTCACAACGGCAACAGCTTCAGTAACACCCGCTGCCAGACCAGCTATTCATAGTCAGCATAAGATCTTTACCAAGACAAAAAGAACTGAATTATTGCGCAGTAACCCTCCGGCCACCCGATCGAAGTGAACTTACCCAGAAACGTAGCTCTACCAGTTACATTCCCTGTCTCCTTATCCGCAAGCAACTTCTTGTATGCTTCGAAGCTCGTGAACCGAATGGCCATTTTTGGTACAATACCAGTAACGACAGCACCCAATCCTTTGTATAGTCCGAGAGGCGTTTCCCGTTTGACAATCTCCACCCCCGTTGTTACAAAGCCTCGTTTTTTGGCACCGGGAGCGCGTGCTCGACGAGAAAGCTGCATTCGCACTTTGATGGTATCTGAAACCATTACCAGATCAATCATGATCGATGTTCACATGCGAAGGCTTTACATACCCAGTGGATGGCACACGAGAGCTTCCATCATACCAGCTGTACCTCCAGCTAATGAGTTGTATTAGCATGTGCTTCTGAGTCAGACGTCTGTAGAACTTCAATCCTGGACATACCGATCAAGTTCGTTGCGGCAGAAGCTGGCTTCTTGCCGTTCGACCCCGACACATTTTTAGCAGACATTTTAAGCAGATCGTGGTCGTTGTGAGGTTGCGCTGGACGAGGATAGGGGGTCGGACCAGATTTTTGGCTTCGAAGCTTCTCGAGGTAACTGATCATGTACCAAGTCCAACCACAATACGCTATTTCCTGGTACTGGGAATCCCAATATCAAGGAGGGAGGACTGCAAGACCAGGAGGATATGAGCAGGAGGAAACGTGCAAAGAGAGAAAATTGGCAACAACTGTGACAGTTCAAGCTCGGCAAATTTACCAGCTTTCCCCGGACACCCACCTGCGCTGCTTTGATCCGCGGCCCAGGAAAGACAGTCTTGCCGTTGCCCCATGCAGCAGGAATGGCACTCGACGTGGACAGGAATGGGTTTGTGCGGAGCCGAGAGCGAGCCCCAGCACATGGCCAAATTCCTCTAACTCGGCGCAACGGAGATCCCAACCAGACGACTAGCTTTACTTTTGATTGATGCTTAGAACTTCTGTGGCGGGGATATATGGAAGCATTACTGCGGGTACGGCCATCACTGTTTTTAGGAAGAGTGCATTTCAAGAATATTCTAGCAACAGAACAAACTTCGCTTGCGTTCTGGGGCGGTTCTGTTCTGTTCTGTTCTGTTCTGTTCTGGTTCACGTCTCTTTCCTCGAATTCTCAGCTTTGTGAGAGAAATGACGTTCCAGCGGCGGGGCGGGATGCTTGTGATTTTGCGGGGTGCAGCGAGCAGGGGTCTAAACACAGCACGCGGGCCAGGACCATGACCAGGACCAACAGAAACCGACCATAATCGGAAGAATCCGGTGCTGGATAAGCCGAGGTGAATTTGCCCTGCCAACCTACCTATCTCCCAGTTCCCGCGGGTAAAGATACCTGGGTACCTACGGAGTAAGTACCTAACCACGAACCAACCCGAAACAACCCGCTGCAGTTGCTAGTTGTGTACGTTGCGAACTGTTGCCCGCACTTTCTTTTTGGGGCCGAAGAGGGCGACGAGTCAACGCCACACAATTGAATAGACCGAAGTAAAGTGAGCCAGGTTCCCGGATCTCTAAAGAACCGATAAGATCGAACTGCCTCGGTTATGCGTCTACTTTAATGCTAAGCGAGACCCCTGGAATGCTCAAAAAAACATACGGGAGATGTTGGCGTTCCGTTGGTGTGCTGCAAATTCACCGATGCGTGAACTAGACGAGCTTCTGCTTTTGTGATTCAAAGCCCAGGAACGGAGTGATTTATGACAGCTCAAATGCTTATCAGCCTCGTCCCGTGGACAGTGCATTTGCTTTCCAACTTCGCCGTCCTCTCCAGAGAAACCCCGAAAGAATATTCCAACTACAGCTCCGCATCGAGTGGGGCTGGGACACCTTTGCTTGAATGCTTTGCTGGATAATTCCGGACAGAGGCTTGAGATTAGCATACAATCTTCGAGCCCGATCGATTCTGTTCCACTAATAGCTCCGCGTCAAGATGGGTCGATTAAGTATTTGATCAGCGGCAGGCAGCTGATAAGAACTGTAGCAATAGACGTGGTACAAGATAAATCGACCTCGAATTAATAGCAAGTATTCTCTGTTTATTAATTAGACGATGTAATAGTCGGTTCCCCTTTATAAGTCTGTAGGCACTCGCCTATAGTTAGTAAAAGTAAGTATTATAGAAAAGTAAGTATTAAATAAAAATTATTAAGTAAATTTTATATCTTTTCTAGTAGATATAAATATTTAAAAGAAGATAAATAAATTAAAACTGATTAAGTACTTTTATATATTTAATTTTTAAATAGTATTATTACTATATAATATATTTTCTAATATATTTATTACTTATAGAATTATTTAATAAGGAAAGCTTTAATAATTTTCTGCGAGAAGCTTATAAGAATTTTATATAATACTTGCTTTCTTATAATACTTACTTTTACTAATTATAAGCGAGTGCCTATAGACTTATAAAGGGGAATTAACTATTATAAGCGTGTTCCCGCGTTTTATAAAGATTACAAATTATATATAAGCTTAGAAGTAACTAAAGTAAATATTTTATAAGCTAAAGGTACTATAAAATTATAATTTTAAGATAATAATAAGATAGTTAGAATTATAAAATTCCTAGTAATCTTAAGTAGCTTTAAAACTACTAATAGATAGTTATATAATAAGTGTAGGTTCTAAAAAAGAAAGGTTTAGAATAATTAAATAATTTTATTTATATCGAATACTAGAGCTATATAAGCCTATCCTAGGTTTAGTATATACTTAGTAAGTATATTATATATATATAATATACTTTTAGCCCCTGATTCTAAGGAGTAATATTCTTTTAAATATATCTTTTAATATTATAACTTCTACTTAATTAAGTAAGCTCTCTACTAAAGGAAAGCTTACTTTACTATTATATAATAATTAAGAGCTATATTTATCTTTTAAGCACTTAGTATATATATAATTCTATTACTTTAATTAAGCTTTTTACTAGAACCTCTTAATTACTTCTTAATTTTTAAATTCTTATAATTCTTTTATAATTATATTTATTTTCTTAATAAATCTAAAATATAAATAATTACTTAGTACTAATATTATATACTTAAAACTAAAAGATTTCCTTACTTAAATAAAGTATTTAATATTAAGTATAAATATTTTAGAACTCTAGCTTTATATTAATTAAGAAGTTTTAAATACTCTTTCTTTTATTTAAATCTTTAAGAAGCTTCCTTAGATTATAAAGTAAATTATAGCTAATATATTAGCTTATAAGATAGAATTATATAAAATCTCTTATACTAAGTATAAAATAAAGCTTATAAGCTAAGTAATAATATAAAGTTTAAGAACTTTATAAAGCTTTTTAAGTAAGAACTTTAGCTTTTTTTTAAGTTATTCTAAAGACTTTAATATAAGTTATACTAATAAAAGCTTTAGATTATAAAGTAATAATAAAAGCTAAGTAAGAGCTATAAAAGATAAATACTAAGATCTAATAACTTTAAATAACTTAGTACTAAAAGTTCTATAAATAAATTAAGAAAATAATAACTAAGTAGTACTTTAAGATTACGAATATAAAGATTATTAATAATAAAAGCTTTAATATTTAAGTACTCTTTTAATTACTTAAATATATTCTAAATTAAATAAATAGTATTATTTAAATCTTAATTAAAAGTAAATACTAATTACTACTTAAGTTAATAAAAGAAGCTAAGCTTAATCTTAGAACTTAGATTATATCTTACTAAGAGCTTATATATAAGAGTATCTTATATTATATTTTAAATATAAATAAAATACTTAGGATTATAAACTTCTTAATCGCTATAAGTAACTTTAATTATATATAGTCTTATAAGTACTACTTCTAATTTAAAGAAGCTAATAATTTTTTTAAAAAAGTAATTATATACTCTTTTATAACTTATATAATTATTTTATATAAAGGAAGTTAATATATAATATTATAAGCTTATAAGTAGTAAAAATAAGATATATAATTATTTTATTATTCTTAGAAAAAAAAGTAGTAAAGAATAAAGTTCTTTTATTTTAAAATCTAATAATAAAGTAAATTAAGTATTTAAGAAAAAGTACTTATACTCTTAAGATAAAATATATAAGTAAGCTTCTAAAGATTATAATAAGCTTTAGCTAGTAGTATATAAAAAGCTTTTTATTAATACTAATAAATATAAACTAAACTTAAGTAAAAAGAAACTAGAAAAGATTTATAAGTACTTTATAAGTAAATACTAGAAATTACTTAAAGTAAAGTTTAAAAAAAGTATTAACTTATTACTTTTACTAGAAATTAAAAGTATTTTATAAAAGTAAAAATTAAGTAAATCTTTAAATAAATTAAAAAGCTTTTTCCTTAGAAACTTAATAAATAAAAAAGAAAAATAACTTAGTAATAATTATATTATTATACTTTTAAATTTAAACTAAGGATTCTAACTTAGAATCTACTTTATTTAAAAAGCTTATAAGTATTACTCTTTATTAGTAAGTACTTTTTTAAATAATTATAAAACTATTAATCTTATTAATAATAGCTTCTTATTAGAACTAAGCTTATTTATAAAAGTAAATTTATATAATATTATAAAGTATAAAAACTCTTAGTTATTAATTATTAAATATAATACTTATATACTTAAAAATATACTTATTAAAATAAATAATAATACTTTTAATCTTATACTTATAAATATAATTATAATTAAAAGATTTTATATAAATATTCTTTTAGAAGTTTATCTTTAGAATATAAGCTTATAATATTATAAAATAAATTATATACATAAATAATATAATAATAAGTAACTTATAAAAGATTATTTAGTAATTTAATAGCTTATTTATAAACTTAATCTTATATTTTTTAAATATAATAAGTATTTAAACTACTTTTTTAACTTTTATAAGATTCTATTTAATAAAACTAATATTATAATATTTATAAGTATAAATTATCTAAGGAATTAAATATTTTAGTTATCTTATAATTATAATAAATCTTACTTAGATTTAGAAATAATATAATATTTATAATTAAGATACTTAGATTTAAATACTTTTTAAAAGCTAATAAGAGCTTTAAAAGAAGTAAGAATAACTAATATTATAAAATACTTAAAGTATAAGTATTATATACTTATATATATTACTTAAGTTATATCTTATTATTTATTAGAATAAAGATTAATAAAGCTATTTTAAAAGATTAATTAGGATTTATTTAATTTTTTTTAAAATACTTTAGAAATTACTTTTAGTTCTTAATACTTAAATATAAGTATAATAAATTATTTATTAATTATATATTCTAATTAAAATCTTATAATAAAATATTTAAAAGTATTAAAAGCTTTAAGTGCTAAGTATATACTTAGTTTAAACTTTTAATTTATAAATTTAAGTATAATTAAGAAAAAGTAATTATTATAATTTAAAGATTTATAAGATATAAAATATAAGTAAATAAGCTTAGTATTAAACCTAAGCTTTCCTTTACTATATATAAACTAAATAATATAATAAAATAAACTAGCTAAGAAGTAATTATATAAGTAATATAAATATAATTATTTATAAATCTTTTTAAAGAACTTAGATTAGAATATATTTTAATAAATATTTACTTTTATAATAAATACTTTAATAGAATATAAAATTAGAAATTATTACTTAAAGTTAATAACTAATAGTTTTATAATTACTTTTAATAGTATAATCTTATAATTATAACTTATATAACTATAGATTTTAAACTTAACTAAAATAAAATCTATATATATAAATATAAAGTATACTTATTAATAATAGAATAAGTATTTAGAAAAGAAAAGAAAGTATTTAAAGTTAATATATATATATATATATATATATATATAAGCTACTTTATAAGCTTTTATATCTTTAATATCTATAAGATCTAAGTATTATAGCTTAATTATATTATTATTATATAGAATATTTACTTTAATAAAAGAAGCTTTTATATCTTTAAAAAAGAAAAAGTAAATATCTTTATTTAAAAAGCTTTATTACTTATTAAGCTCTTATAAGAAGATAAGTAAATAGAATATATCTTAAGTAATATAAAAATTATTCTTAATAATATATAAATTAAATATATAATTATATTAAATAAAAGGATTTTAATTAGTCTTTATAAGCTCTTAAAGTAAGATTAATTTATAATTATTAGTAGTAAAAGTTAGAACTTAAAAGTAAAAGATTATATTAAAAATCTAAGTATTATTTTTAGACTTTTAACTTTAAAAGATACTTTTAAATTAGAATATATACTTAGTATTTAAAGAAAGAATAAGTAATTATTAATAAGTATATTTAATCTAAGACTTACTTTAAGTATAAAATAAAATCTTAAGAAGTTAAGCTAAAATAAGTATAAATAACTTATAAATCTAAAAATAAGTATATTATAAGATTAAGTAAAGAGTTTACTTTATTTATAAAGATTAAAATATAAATCTTAATTAGATTACTTTTAATAATAATAAGAGAACTTATATTAGTATTAGCTATAATAAAAGTACTAAGAAAATAATTATAAATTAAAATAATAAGAATATTAAAAACTAATATATATATATATAAGTATATTAAGAGCTTACTAAATAATAGTCTACTAAGCTTAAATACTAGAAGTAATATAAGAGCTAAATAAGAGTATAAAAAAGAGAGAAAAGAAGAAGTATTTATAATATTTAATATTATTTTTTTAAAAAATATATAAAAGTACCTTAAATATTAGAAGTAATTTAAACTTTAATAGTAATTCTTCTAAAGGTATATATATAAATCTATTATATAAGCTAGATTAGCTTTTTATTACTTTTATACTTAATTAATATAAGATAGTTAAAAAATAAAAAAAGCTTAGATATATAATATAAATAGTATACTTAATAATTATAATAATAATTTAAGTAAGCTATTTAGTACTAAATAAGAAGATTTTATTTCTTAAAGTTAAAGTTTAAGACTTATTATTAAAGCTAAGATAATAAATAAATCTTAAGAATTATCTAA